GGCCGCTTATGCGGCCGCGCGACATCTCTCTATATACAAAGTGATCCTAGGAAGTAAACCACCTAACGTTTCTCTCTGAAAATCATAGTTAAGCTTTGAGCACGGCCACAGCCCCAGAAACACAAGTACTTAATGCATAACCCAGCAGCTTGGAGCAGAAAAGTGAACGGGTTATGTGTTAACCCAGGCCATCAAGTCTGCCAGAGGGGAAAGGGTGTTGGTCCCTTCCGCCCTCCTCCCTCTGGAAAGAAAGGTGGCGGCCACATGGGAGCCTTGTGGACAGCAGGTATGAGCCGGGGGTGTGGGGGCGACTAAAACCTCATGGGAAGGGGGGCGTTCCGGTCCGTCCTTCACGCCCTACCGAGGCCACCAGTTGCCCCCCACGAGCGGCTCTCCAGCACGGCCACAGCCCCAGAAGCACAAGGACTTAATGCAGAACCCAACAGCTTGGAGCAGAAAAGTGAACGGACTATGCGTTAATCCAGGCCATCAAATCTGCTGGAGGGGAAAGGGTGTTGCCCCATTCGCCCTCTCCTCTCTGGAAAGAAAGATGGCGGCCACATGGGAGCCTTGTGGACAGCAGGCATGAGCCGGGGGAGCGGGGGCGACTAAAACCTCATGGGAAGGGGGGCGTTCCGGTCCGTCCTTCACGCCCTACCGAGGTCACCAGTTGCCCCCCACGAGCGGCTCTCCAGCACGGCCACAGCCCCAGAAGCACAAGGACTTAATGCAGAACCCAGCAGCTTGGAGCAGAAAAGTGAAAGGACTATGCGTTAATCCAGGCCATCATGTCTGCCCGGAGGGGAAAGGGTGTTGGTCCCTTCCGCCCTCCTCCCTCTGGAAAGAAAGGTGGCGGCCACATGGGAGCCTTGTGGACAGCAGGTATGAGCCAGGGGTGTGGGGGCGACTAAAACCTCATGGGAAGGGGGGCGTTCCGGTCCGTCCTTCACGCCCTACCGAGGCCACCAGTTGCCCCACACGAGTGGCTCTCCAGCACGGCCACAGCCCCAGAAACACAAGGATTTAATGCAGAACCCAACAGCTTGGAGCAGAAAAGTGAACGGACTATGCGTTAATCCAGGCCATCAAATCTGCTGGAGGGGAAAGGGTGTTGCCCCATTCGCCCTCTCCTCTCTGGAAAGAAAGATGGCGGCCACATGGGAGCCTTGTGGACAGCAGGCATGAGCCGGGGGAGTGGGGGCGACTAAAACCTCATGGGAAGGGGGGCGTTCCGGTCCGTCCTTCACACCCTACCGAGGCCACCAGTTGCCCCCCACGAGCGGCTCTCCAGCACGGCCACAGCCCCAGAAGCACAAGGACTTAATGCAGAACCCAGCAGCTTGGAGCAGAAAAGTGAAAGGACTATGCGTTAATCCAGGCCATCAAGTCTGCCAGAGGGGAAAGGGTGTTGCCCCATTCGCCCTCTCTTCTCTGGAAAGAAGGATGGCGGCCGCATGGGAGCCTTGTGGACAGCAGGTATGAGCCGGGGGTGTGGGGGCAACTAAAACCTCATGGGAAGGGGGGCGTTCCGGTCCGTCCTTCACGCCCTACCGAGGTCACCAGTTGCCCCCCACGAGCGGCTCTCCAGCACGGCCACAGCCCCAGAAGCACAAGGACTTAATGCAGAACCCAGCAGCTTGGAGCAGAAAAGTGAAAGGACTATGCGTTAATCCAGGCCATCATGTCTGCCCGGAGGGGAAAGGGTGTTGGTCCCTTCCGCCCTCCTCCCTCTGGAAAGAAAGGTGGCGGCCACATGGGAGCCTTGTGGACAGCAGGTATGAGCCGGGGGTGTGGGGGCGACTAAAACCTCATGGGAAGGGGGGCGTTCCGGTCCGTCCTTCACACCCTACCGAGGTCACCAGTTGCCCCCCGCGAGCGGCTCTCCAGCACGCCACAGCCCCAGAAGCACAGGGACTTAATGCAGAACCCGGCAGCTTGGAGCAGAAAAGTGAAAGGACTATGCGTTAATCCAGGCCATCATGTCTGTCCGGAGGGGAAAGGGTGTTGCCCCAGTCGCCTTCTCCTCTCTGGAAAGAAAGATGGTGGCCGCATGGGAGCCTTGTGGACAGCAGGTATGAGCCGGGGGAGTGGGGGGGCGACTAAAACCTCATGGGAAGGGGGTGTTTCGGTCCGCCCTTCACGCCCTACCGAGGCCACCGGTTGCCCCCCACTAGCGGCTCTCCAGCACGGCCACGACTCCAGAGCACAGAAACCAATTTCTTAACTATCTGACTTTCAGTATAAATACTTCCAGGGTCAATAAGTAAAATAGCAGAAATCCAAAACCAACATTTAATTCTTGAACCCAGCTGTAGAAAGCAAATCACGTCACAATGCTTTTTCAGCATGTCTGATTTGGGGGGGGGGTAAACTCTAAATTATAGTGGTGAATCTTTTATTGAAACAATGAATCTAATCAAAGCAGATAGAGTGTTAACTAGAATTCATCTGCCCCACAGGGACTGGGAGGGGTGGGGGGTGGGGTTTTATTGGGGTTCTTCATGGTAAAAAAAGAAGTGTTGGTAAAGGGAAATGTGTTTGATATTTGCATGACTGAGACCTAGACCTGAAAGCTTTGTAACCTTTCCCAGGGTGATTCAATAAATAAAAAAAAATAAAAAAAAATAAAATAAAATAAAAAAAAAATAGATGATAACAACGGCCATAAACAATTTCTTTTTAGATTTCAGTTTCTTTACTTCTTGGGGATTTTTTAGGGAGTCGGTCTGTTTGCTTTTGGGGGTTGTTTTTAGTGAAGTAGATACATTTTATTTAGGAAAAAGGAAAGTAATGAGAGAGGAGCAGAAAGTCCCATAAAGTAACAGAGAGAAATATATACCCCCAGGAGGTGGCATAAGGGCAGCACTTCTTTTCTTTTTTTTTTTTTGTTTCTTATTTTTGGGGACCACAACCAGCAGTGCGCAAAGCTTACTTCTGGCTTGATTCTGTGCACAGAAATCACTTCTGGCAGGGCTCAGGGGATAATGTACAGTGTCAGGAATTGAACTGGGATCAGTTACAAGAAAGAAAAGCGCCCTACCCTTGGCATTATACCTCCAAGTTTCATTTGGTTTTCTCTTTTTTTTTTCCCTTTGGTGCTGAGGGCGGGCACAGGGGAGGGGAGTGATGTTAGGAGTAGAGACCAAACCCAGGACCTCATACATGCAAAGTGTGTCCTTGATCAGGGAGCTGCATGCCAGCCCTGGTGGCCATAAATGCTGGATGCCAGGAACACAGAAGAAAATGTAAATCTGTTATATTGAAGTGATAGCACAGCAGGTAGGGCATTTGCCTTGCATGCAGCTGACCCGGGTTCGATTCTCAGCATCCCATATGGTCCCCCGAGCCCTGACAGTAGTAATTCCTGAGTGCATGAGCCAGGAGTAAGTAACCCCTCTGCAACTCCGGATGTGACCAAAAAAAGTTGTTATATTAATAGATAAAAAAATAAGCTATAATCATGGCGCAAAAGAGAGTTCACCAAGAGAAACATCAACAAAGACGTGGAGACTGAGGGTGTCTGTCCTCTACTCTGTAGGGGAGGGCAATTTGCTATGTAAGAATAAAACAAATGTAGACCCTCTTTGCTCCGGAAATTCCTATTCTAGGCACTTAAAGACATTCATGCACGCTCAGAGGCTGAACAAACGCCCAGAAGTTTACTCATTTTACCATTCATCATGATAAGGAAAAATAGGAATTCTAGAAATGTCCACCACTAAGAACGGTCACTTCAGTAAATGTTTCCAAAATATCTCTGCTAAAAATTCACACCAGTTTCTGACACTGAAAGGAGCTGGCAATAGAAACTTCCCAAATGTAGTGTAGGAAGGCTGCAACAGACATTAGCAAATAATCATCCTCAGCAAAACCAAGGAATAAATTCCAGGTATGTTGAAAGGAAAGAGGTCAAACTCTCTTCGTTTATGGATTATGCAATTTCTGCCTAGAAAGTCCACATGTAATCCAAGAGTAAAGGGATAAGGATAAGAAAATTTAGAAAGGTAAACAAGAAAAGAAAAAAAATACACATAAGGAATAAGTTCCCTACAGATTAGTAGTAACCCACTAGTAAATGTGGCCCAAAAAGCAAAAAGAGAAAAAAAAGTGATATATAATAATCCAGTCCATAAAATATTTCAAAATAATATTTTTATATACTTTTCAAACACTTTTGGGCCACACCCAGTGGTGTTCAGGGGTTACCCCTGGATCTGCACTCAGGAATTACTCCTGGCAGTACACAGGGAACCTCTGGAATGCTGGGGATCAAACACAGGTCAGCCATGTGCAAGGCAAATCCCAACCCGTTGTGCTATAAATCCGGCCTAGAATACTTTTATGTATTAATTTGCACAGGGCATCCAAAAACAAGAAACAAAGCTTAGAATCCATTTTGTTAAACCCAATTTTTGTCTATACAAAAATCTCAAAATCTTAGATATACAATTTCAACATGTCTAATAGATTGGGCTAGGAAAATGGCAAATAATAAATAAACAAGAAATTAGTAGCACTGTCCTCCCACTGTTCATCGATTTGCTCGAGCGGACCCAGTTACATCTCCATTGTGTTGTTACTTGTTGTTACTGTGTTTGGCATATCGAATACATCACGGGTAGCAAGAAATAAGTAGAAATAAAAAAAAACTGCCAACTAATGTCTGAAAGAATATTTCACGGCACTATATGTGCAAAAAAGATGTGCATAAAGACAAAGAGAACTGCCATCATCTCCTCTAAGACTGAGCAAACTGTGAAATGATACTGCAAGTGCAGAAAATGACTGGAGCACACCCTTTGTGACTCCAGAATTCTACTTCTAGGGAGTCTGTCTCAGGGAATTTTCACACAGGTACAAAACTGTGATCAAAACAGCACACAAAGGGCAAAATATAATGCTGCCAAGAAAAAGGAGGAGGTTGGTTTGTGCAGTGAGTTCCTTCTTTCATCCCCTTCATGCCTGTCTGCCCGGGCCCATCTCTGCCCATGGACACTCACCATGATGGAACCAACAACAGGGCCTTTGATCACCCACCAGAGGGCTGTGTTGTCGTTCATATCCCAGCAGCTACAAGAAAGAAGTGAAGTTACTCCCAGCACATCTGAACACAGAGTCCCTGGGCCCCCCTACAGTCCCCAAGGATGCAGCTGACTCTGCAGCTTCTAGTGAGAGCAGAACTACCCATACTTCCCTGTCAGGAGGGGACTCAGAGCCCGCGAGCCAGGGGGCCAACCACAGCCCCAAGCAAAGGGCCAAGCCCCCCCTCATATCTAGCGCTCCTAAGCCCAAGAGATGGACCACCAGGAGTAGGGTCAGGAGGTCTTGTTTGACCCCCAGCACCACATGGTCCCCAGAGCACAGCCGGGAGCAACCCCTGAGCACAGGCTGGAGTGGCCCCCCAGAACCACCAGCTGTGGCCCCCAAGCCCAAATCACCGACAAACAAAAGCAGACAGGGAGCCCCTGACTCGCCCAGGACTCCTCCCTGGCTACCCACGTGCCAAACACACGCACGAGTGGGCTGGTGCCCATGTGGATTGCTGTGGTCAGCCCTGGGCTGGGGACTGAGTGAGGGGCCAGGCTGCTGTGGGGGGCGTGGTGGAGGCAGAGCAGACCCCAGGGCCCAGGTGGGGTCTCGAGGACACTCACCCTGTGTTGTCGCAGTAGAGCCGCAGCACAGCCCACACCGTCACACACACCGTGGGGGTCCCTACAGGGCCAGACAGGAGAAAGCCAGCGACCCCCGGTCTCTCTCAGACCCGACTCCAGGGCCCCATGCCACCTCAGACGTGAGGCGTGGGTATGCATCCTTCCAGACCCGGAACACAAGAGACAGTCTCTCCAGACTCCCTCTGTTCCCTCTCCTTTCTCGATCTCTCTATCTCTGTCTGTCTCCCTCCACCTCCTCTCTCCTTCTCCTCTATCTCTGTCTCTCTTCGTCCCCTCTCTCCATCTCTTCTCTCTGTCTCTGTCTCTCTCTGTCTCCACACTTCATCTCCTCTCTCTGTCTCTGTCTCTGTCTCTCTCTCTCTGTCTCTCCATCTCCTCTCTCTCTCTGTCTCTCTCTGTCTCTGTCTCTGTCTCTGTCTCTCTCTCCCCACCTGGCCCTCCCTCCTCTCTGGCTTCATGGATCAGGAATGAGAAACAGTCCTTGCCCTGCCCAGCACACACCTGATGGCAAGGTCACGCCTGCCCAGGCCCAGTCTGTGACCTACCCCAGCCGATGATGGTGTACCAGTAGAAGTACGTCCGCTCAGGGAAGAAGGTTTCCACCAGCAGGGTGAAGAGGTACAGGCCCTCGATGAACAGCCAGAAGTAGTTGGAGACGACGCAGTAGTGGAAGAACACCATTACCGCCTTGCACTCCACCTGCAGGGAGCCCAGCTGCGGAGGGATGCCGGGCCGCCTCCCCGTGGCCCCAGGAGGCCTGCAACCAGCCCCATGTGCTCGGAGGAATAGGCCCAAACCCTCGAGGCTGGCAGACCCGTCCTTCCTGGGCTGAACGAGTGGAACACGGCAGACGGGTGCAGAGTTCGAGCTCAGGGTGGGGCACCTGGATGCAGCCAAGGCCTGTCCGCTGCCTGAGCACGCAGAAGCAGCCCCCAGGGTCAGGCAGGAGCTCTGAGCACTGACACACTCAGGTCAGCCTGCACAGGGCACCAAGGCCCAGGGATGCTCAGGGCTCCCCCCCGTGCACATTACCCCCATTTTCTGGTCTTGCCCCTGTCCCTGCAGCGGAACAGTAGTGGGGTGCGGGGTGCCCGGGGATGTGGGGGGTGCCCGGGGACGTGGGGGATGCCCGGGGACAGAGACATCCTACAGGCCCAGAAGCCCAGATGCGTCCGGAGCACCATGTTCTAGACTGTTCTTTCTGCCCTCCACCTCCCAAGTCCATCCTCTCTGAAGACCTCCAGAGCATGAGACTGGGGGGATGACCTGGGGACCCCAGGCCCCCGCTAGGCTGAATGACAAGATCTCTCCCGGGGCCTCCCCCTCGGGCCGTCTTTCGGGGTCCCTCCCTGACTATGAACCCTCCTGGTCACCCCTTGGCCTCACCAATGCCTCATCCTCTAGGCAAACCCCAGGCGGATGGTGGGGTGCCAGAAAGGAAGTGGGACAGGTTCAGGGAGCAGTGAGGATGGAGGGACGGGGGTGCCAGGACAGACGGAGGGATGGGGGGCAGCAGGAGGATAGGAGGGGTGCCAGGCAGAGAGGAAAGGATGGAGGTATGCCAGGAGGCGGGGAAGGACTCAGGGTGCTGGGCAGGGAAGGTGGGACAGAGTGCGGGCAGGGAGGGAGGGAGGGAGTGTGGGCAGGGAGGGAGGGACAGGGGTGCGAGCCAAGGCAGGTGGGCCTGGCGCTGACTCACAGTAGAGATGGAGCAGTGGTTGCTGTCCTGCTCAGCATAGAGGATCCAGTCCTTGATGAAGACCGAGATGGCCCGCAGCATGAAGGACACGAACAGGTTCATGTGGATGAAGTTGCGGGTGCAATGCAGCTTCCTGCACCAGCAGGAGGGGGAGGAGGGGAGAGGCCTTCAACCCCACAGTTCCAGCTCCAGGCCTGGCTTCCCTCTGCCCTGTGGCCCGTGACCTCCCTCGCTCACACCAGGGATGAAGGTGGACCCGGGGGTGCCTGGGGACGGAGACAGCAGCAGGGGCATGCGGAGGGGCTGGGCTCTCACCGGAAGCGGCACAGGATGACCATGGCAGTGGTGAGCGTGACGAGGGACGTGCTGTAGCCCACCGTGTACAGCGCCTTCACTGACAGGTAGTAATAGTCCTGGGGCCAGACACAGACACTCAAGATCCCCTCTAGGCACGCCCCTCTGTCCCCTGCCAGGGCCAGCTGCCTGCAGGCCCTCTCCCCCTCTTCTCTTCTTCCCAGCCCACCTCCTCCACCTCCCCTGACACAACACACCCCGCTGGGCTGCACAGGCAGAGTTTGTCTGGCTGAATGCTGGCTGAATGCAGGATCTGACCAATGGGCACTGAGCCCCTAGCCTGAGAGCCCCAGCATTAGCCCGTCATTGTCCGTAGGTCACTGAAAGGCTGGGAGTCCCAGCAGAGCAGCCAGGAGGGTGGGCACCACAGGGTAGGGGCGGGAGACTCAGCCCAGGGCAGTGACTGAGTGACTCCGGCATCTGCAGGGGAACCCAAACTTCCTGTTTCCCAGCAGGAATAGAGACCCCTGGCAAGAACACCACCACCCCCGTCCAGTCTCCCCAGCCTCAGCCCTGAACCCCACTCGGGGGCTGGCGCTCACCTGGTCACCTGTCTCCCATTCATCATCAATGAACCCACACGCATCGAAGTAATGGGGGTAGGGCTCCGACCAGCCATCCTCCGTGCAGTTCCGGCTCACCACGCCCACATCTGCGGCAAAGCGAAACCCAATGAGGCCCCCGGAACAGCTCTCCAAGCACCCCAACTCCTCATTCAAAGCTCTCTGGGGGTCCAAGAGACTCTGAGGGGTAGGGTAGTCTTGCAAGTAGTGCCCCCAGGCTCAATCCCTGCAACATGCACGGTGCCCCTGAGCATCCCTGGGAGGGACCCCTAAGCACAGAGTCAGGAGTAAGCCCCAAGTACCACGCCCCACCCCCAAAGAATCAAACAAGAAAGAAACTTCTCTCCTCTGGTTTCCCCCTGCAATGCCAGGGATCGAACCCAGGGCTTCACACACAGTCCAGGTGCTCTACCCTGAGCTGTGTCGGGCCCCAAACTCTTCTGGAGTGGACATTCCTGGAGACCCATATGTCCATCCGGGAAACAGAGCTCCCGAAAGGTTCTGGAAAGTTCCCCTGAAGACAGTGACCACTAGGCCTTCCTGGGCGCAGATCTGACAGAGAATCAGGGTGAGGGGACACGGCTCAAACCGTTGCACAAAGCCTGAGGGGCCCAGTACGCTAAACATGGCCCCCCACAGTCCCTCCCGGCCCGCCCCGTGACGGTGGCAGAGGCACCTTCCCTTTGGGCCAGGAGAAACTCAGTGGAGCGGACGCTTTCTCCAGAGCAGGCACCGCTCACCAGGGACTCGGGGTTGTTTAATTAACAAGGACCAGACCGCCATTAACCTGCATCCCGTCTTATTAAGATAGATGCTGAGCTCCATAAAAAAACCTTCGCCTTTCAAGGTCTGGCAGTCTGTTTCCTATCACAAATGCACTTTCCTTTCTTCTGATGGACAGTTAGAGGCCATTTGGTGGACACACTCATGGGGGGGTGGCAGTCTTTGCTGACTGCGGGCTGTTCTTTTTGCTGCTTTGCACCCAGCAGAGGCTATTTGTGCCTTTAATGCTATGAGTCTCATCTGCTCCTCCCCAGACTATTCTTTTTTTGTCGGGAATGGGGGGAGAGGGGCCACATCTGGTGGTGCTCAGGGGTTACTCCTGGCTCTGCACTCAGAAATTACTCCTGGAGGTGTTTGGGGACCCTATGGGATGCTGGAGATCGAACCCGGGTTGGTCATATGCAAAGCAAACACCCTGCCCTCTGGACTATCGCTCTGGCCCTCACCAGATCTTCCTTAGGGGTTACCCACAGATGCCTGACGGGGGGACAAGGCAGCTGACAGCTCCAGGGCAGGCTGGCTTTGGGGAGTTGCCCTGTGTTGAGAACACGAGAGAGCCCTTCACTGGGGGTATGAAACGGTGTGAAGCAAGAACCCGCTTCACGCCAGCACCCCACTGCCGTCTTGGCCGAGGCCACATCCGCAGGGCTTCGGAAGCAGCAGGCAGAAGAAGAGGTGACTCCGCAACTGTACAGCAGCCAGGGCCTGCTGCTGGGTGGAGCTGGAAGATCTAGAGCCAGTTCCAGAGACAAGAGAGTCAGAAATGGGCCTTCTGGTGTGCAGAGATGCGGCAGTGCAGAGCCCGGTGAAGCTGCCATCAGAAACCTTTGACCGGACGGGGTCAGAGCGATAGTACAGCAGGGAGGGCGTTTGCCTCACATGCGGGGCACCCGGGTTAGATCCCCAGCATCCCACAGAGTCCCCTGAGCACTGCCAGGAATATTCCTGCATGCAGAGCCAGGAGTAATCCCTGAGCATTGTCAATGTGGCCCCAAAACAAACAGACAGCACAGGGGTTAAGGAGCCAGCCTTGCCCAAGCCAACCCCCACTCATCCCTCCACTGCGTGTGGCCCCAGAGACTGCCAGGAGAAAGCCCTGAGAACAGAGCCAAGAGCAATGTTGAGCACTGTTGGGTGTGCCCTCCTCCAAAATAAATCTCTCAAATCTAAAATGCTCCGACCAGAGTGGGGAGATGGGACCCCGCGGGTCCTCGGGTCCAGAGCACTCAGACAGGACCGGGAGGCCATCCGCAGAGCAGTGGCGAGCGCTCACTCCACCCCCAGCTTGAGGGATACCAGATGCCGCTTCTTCAGGAAGAATGTCGGCAGCTCTGGCCACGCCGTCCCAATCCCCCGGACATTTCAGGCTGTGGCCTAAACTCTCCTGGCTCAGCACCCCTACAACGTCCATCAGGGCAGCGGGGAGAGCAAAGGGGACGCTGCTTCCTCGAGGTGGAAGCGACTTCCTTTCTGAACACAATGTGGGTTCGGGAAGTGTAAGACTCTGGTGCAGACCCAGCCCCTGCCGGTGCCCTTCCATTGCCCCCCCATGGAAATCTCCAGAACCTGTCCAGATTGCTCAGCCTGCGGGGACTATCCATGTCACTGTCACCCAGCCTCTGGGTCCCAGCAGCTTCCGGGGGCAGAGATGCTGAGGGCGGAGGGTCTCTGAGTGGGCTGGCTAGAAATGCACTCTCCACGCCCTGCCTGTGCCACCCTCTCTGAGGCTGAGCCCAGAAGCCCACATTGTAACCAGCCCATGGGTGCCCGTGATCAAGATCCAGGTGTGAGAAGCACCGTTCCACAGGTCTGCGTCGGAAACTGTCGGGGCATTGCAGGTGGCTCTGCAGGCAGGGGCCATGGACAGGCTGATGGACCCTTTACGCAGAGTCCATGGCGCAACTGCAAGAGACCTGTGACTCCCCAAAATAGCGTACCGTGGAAGTGTCTGCACCCCTGAGTGCAGCTTCCCAGAGCCAGGGTCTATGACCTCATCAGAGAAGGCAACTGACCAACCGACCTGGCAGAGACCACTCAGCCACGGCCCGCCAGGGCCCCCAACAGGCACAGCAACAAAGACCCGTCCTGTCCCTGCCGCCAACCCACAGTCTCCCGGCTTATCCCTTACCTGAGAGAGTCAAGGAGCTACTGTCTGCAAAGCCATCGTACTCGCCTGCAAGACAGAGCAGACAGGACGCGAGTCAGAGGGTGCGGCTGGAACCAGCTCTCGGGGGAGCTGTCCCTGCTATTCCTGCCCAGGTGGCCACGGCTACTGGGGCTGGGGTACGAGAGTGGGTGAGTTTCAGCCAGGCCCACCCCACACACATGCACACACACGCACGTGCACATGCACACACACGCACGTGCATACACACACACACACATGCACACATGCAGCCGCACTCATGCACATATATGCACACTCACGCATGCACACAGGGATGCACATACTCACACATGCACACATGCACACACGTGTGCACAAACAAGCACTCACACACACGCACTCACACACACGCACTCACACACACGCACTCATACACACACACGTACATAAGCACACACACACCTCCTGAGCCCACGCTCCTTGGCTCCGGTGACAGCCCATGACTCAGTTCTTCCCTGGACCACAGGAAGTAGAAATGAGACACCTCAGGGTGGGTGGGAGTGAAAGGGAGAAGGGACAGGATGACGAGCTCTTCCAAACAAAGGCCCTGCAGGGACAGTCGCGCAGATCCTGGCTTCCCGGGTGTTAGCCCCTTTTCCACGCTCCAAAGCACCCCCATCAGAGGGACTCAGAACACCAAACACTGAATCAGACCTGTCTTCTCCTTCCATCCCTCCTCTGTATTCCCACCTGTTTCTTTCCCTTGGACTACATCCGCTGCTAGAACTGGCTCTCCATTTTCCTACTGTTTCTCAAAAATTCAGCTTCCATTGCTCCATAGTTGGAAGCCTGCCTCATGAGCCGGGGGTGGGGGTGGGGGGGTGGGGGGGGTAGGCGGCTGGAATAGAGAAGGGATCGCTAAGAAAATGATGGTTGGAGGGATCAGTCGGGATGGGAGGTGTGTGCTGAAAGTAGATAAAGGACCAAATGTGATGGCCTCTTGGTATCTGTGTTGCAGACCATAATGCCCAAAAGTAGAGAGAGAGTATGGGGAATATTGTCTGCCATGGAGGCAGGGGGAGGGTGGGAAATGGGGGGTATACTGGGGAGATTGGTGATGGGGAACATGCACTGGTGAAGAAATGAGTGTTTGATCATTGTATGACTGAAACTCAAACATGAAAGCTTGTAACTATATCTCACGGTGATTCAATAAAATAAATATTTTTTTTAAATCCAGCTTCCTAGGTATCAGTAAAAAGTCACCCCCTCCCAACAAGTCTCCCTGACTTCTTCCTCAGCCCACATGCGGCAGAGTCAGCCTCCTCTGACCTTGTACATATGCATTCCACCTCCAGACCTCAGGGCTGATGAGCTACGTGAACTCAGTACACACACATTCCACCTCTAGACCTCCTGCGTGATGAGCTACATGGCTCCCTGGCTCCCTGGCATGTGCAAAGGCACATGGCTGGACAGGCTTTCTTTCCAGTCCTCCAGAGCCAAGAGGGGGCATCTTCCATCTCTCTGTCTTCCTGTGTTCTCACATAACCAAGCAGGGGTGCAGGGGGTGGCAGGTGGGGAGGGAATAGGAACCTGGTCCCGATAAGCCCCCATGGTACCCCCACCCCACGGGCAAGCTGAGTTGCGGAGCTCCAGCATCTCACCACGCGCCTCTTACCGAGGGTTCCTGTCTCCCAGGCTGAAACAGAGAGAGAGAGGAAAGGCGGGTGAGCACGGAGAAGACGGGAGTCAGGTCTGCCCTCCCTGGGCCCTGCCGGTCACTCCCTCCCTGCCAAGCTCACTCCCTAACTTGCACAGGCCTTGTTGGGGCTCAGGAGGTTGGAAACCCCTTGAATTCTGCTTCATAATAGGGCACCGTGGAGAGGGGTGAGTACTGGGGGAGGGGGGGGACGGGAGGGGGGGACGAGGGAAGCAAAGGAACACAAGGTTCGGGCTGCGAACCAGGAGCTCCAGAAGAAATGCCATCCTCTCATTCTCGGCTCAATATCGGAGGCAAGTGGCGGAGATGCTGAAAGGCGCTGCCCTAATGAGCCATTAGGAGCGGGTGTCAGCGACACCTTCCCTCGCTGTCGGGAGGGATGGAGTCCCAGGGGAATCTTCCTGAGCTCTCATTCGTTTGCCCTTCCGTGTCGCGGCTGAAAGCAGCAGCAACCGTGCCCAGCGCCTGGCCCAGAGCAGACAGGAAGAAGCTTCCATAAAGGATCGAAAGAGAAAGGAGGAGGTGGAGAGGGTCACGCGGATGGATCAGACATGCTGACGCACCTTTCCCCAGGTTCTTTATTCTGGGGCAGCGAGGGTTGGCCATGCCTGGTGGTGCTCAAGAATGACCCCCCAGAGGCAGCTGGGGGACCACGGTCCAGGCCTCAGGCACGCGGAGCTCACGCTCATGCCCTCTGAGCCTGCTCCTGGTCCCCTTTCTCTCCCCCTTTCCTTCTCTTTCTCTCTCCCTCTCTCTCTCCCCCCTCCCCCTCTCTTTTTCTTTCTTAGGAATGACCATCCCTGACACTACAGAACACTGAGATGGTTCCGGTACGCAGGCAGGGACTCCCCTGGTCACGGGGCCATACTCCCACTAGGCAGACCAGGAGAGGGGACAGAGGGACCAATTGTCCTACACAAGGTCCCCAGGGGGGCACATCTGAGAGCCCTGCACCGCCCACGGCGAGGTGCAGCTGTCTGTGAACCTGGAGCCACACTTGAGGGCACTACTGGGTCCCTGTGGCCTCACTCCCCAGGGCTGGGCACATGGAAACTGGGACCATCCACCAGCAGGACCTGCGCCCTTGGTGTCTGGGCAGGGGTGTGGTGAGAGGCAAGACTGGGGCGGGGGGTGGGGGTGAGGGTTAGACCAGCAAGGAGGAGAGGAGAGTATGGAGAGGTTAGACCCACGGGGTAGGGGAATGAGGGGAGGAGATTAGAGGAGTAGCAGGGTTGAGGTTAGACTCACAGGGGAGAGAGGAATGAGGAAGGAGGTTAGACCAGGAGGGGAGAGGGGAGTGGGAGTGAGGTTAGACCAGGAGTGATGAGGTTAGACCCACAGAGGAGAAGGAAGTGGAGGCAAGGTTCGACCAGCAAGGGGAAGGGGTGGGATGAGGTTAGACCCACAGGGGGAAGGGGTGTGGGGTGAATTGGACCCACAGTGGGGGCTTACCCTGGTCAGGGTTGACGATGCGGAAGAATTCGGGGCAGCTGACCAGGACCATCTCCCCGACCTGGGCCGGCTTCCAGCACGTGATATTGTCCCACATTCCAGGGCAGCCTGTGGGCGGGAGGGCCGGAGTGAGCGGGGTGCAGCCCCCCTTCACGCCAGGGGAGGTGAGGCGAGGCTCCCTGTCACCTCCAAGAACAGTGGTTGCTGGAGTGAGAAAACACCCTTGCACACAGCAGCCGGGCTCAGGCCCAAGCACCACCAGGAGGGATCCCCCAGAGCAGAGCCAGGAGGAAGCCCTGGAAGCCCTGAGTGGCTCCCCAGGGGGAGATGGAGGCAGGGGGATGCCCCTAGGGGCCCCCAAACCTCCTTCCCAGGCTTCCCTTTCAGCGTCCTGCAGGGAGTGTAGAACCCCCTGGGCTCCAAGGAGCTTCCTATAAGCAAGGAGGGCAGCGCACAGGCCAGAGGGCTGCCGAACACTGTCTGCAGAGACTGGACAGTCAGGGCTCCAGGAGGGAGGGGGGGCAGAAGGAAGCGGAGGTGTCGAGGAAGCAGGACCCTGAGTGGTGTCACCGCCTGTGAGATGGTGATCTTGTCACACTTGTCTCCTAGACTTTTACCCTGGGGGAGCCCTGAGCTCCTCTGTGCACGCTGCGCCATCTCCTTCCCAACCCCGCCAGCCTCTGTGCCCGCTTCAGCATCCCCCTGTCATACCCTGAACCCGCGACTGAAATGCCTCTGCCCAACCAGGCGTGCCCTGACCACGTGGGGGTCAGCAGCTGCCCTGCCTGGGCCCCTGGCCCACCCTTCGGAGTCCAGGACAGAGGTCACACCCACAGCTCCTGCCCGGCTCCTGCTCTCCCTAGGGAAGGGGTCAGAACAATCCCTCCCTGCAGCTAGCCCAGATCCAGCTGCACTGCCAACCCCCAAGCGGCATCTCAACGGGGATGCTGGGGCACCTCACTGGCTCCATCCCTCCACAGTGGCCCTCTGCAGCCCCTCCCTCCCTCCCTCCTAGCTGAGGGCTTAGGGAAGAGGGAGCCTCTGTTTCTCCTGGCCAGTGCTATGAGCAGCTCCATTCTGGCTGTCCAGTCCTACATTTTGAACATTCCCACAAACTCCTAGGCTCTTTCTGAAAATCGGGAGTTAACAATTCCCCCAGGCCACAGATTCTACTCCAGGCCATGAGCTCTTTGCAGACTAAGAGATAGTAGGCACTTACCCAGGCAAATGGTCCAACAGACACCTGAGAGGCCCTAACACAAGTTCGGTCCCCAGCATCCCATAGGGTTCCCCAAGCATCACCAGGAGTGATTCCTGAGTGCAGAGCCAGGAGTAACCCCTGAGCATCGCCGGGTGTGCCCCACCCCCCCAAAACAAAAACAAAACCAAAGGATGTTTCTCTTCTCCCTCTGATGATCCCTGTCTAAGCAATAAATGTTGTCCATGGAGGATAGACGGTGGGTGAGGCTGGGAGCCCTGGCCCCAGGCTTTTTCTGTCTTATTTCTTTTCTTAACCCTTCCAGCGCCACTGCTTTGGGTCTGTTCATCTGGGGCGGGTCCCCGGCATCTGAAGGTAACACACTGAGACACAGAGAAGGGCCGGACCTGGGCTCTGTTGGGACATAGCAGTGGGTCCCAGGCCATTCCTGTCCCCCATAGTAAGGCAGCCGTCAGGGGCGTCTTACAGCGTTCTCTTCACAGGGCACCCCGGGGCCCTGGCACCTCAGCTGCTCCTGCCAGCAGCCGTGCCCAAGGTCAGCACAGTCCAAGGGAAAGCACAGTCCTGAGGGCGGAGAGGCAGGGGAGGGTGCAGGGAGGGTAGGGCTGGGGTGTGAGGAGACGAGGAGCCCCAGGGGGAGGGAGGCCCTTCTGTTTACTATTCCTTCAGCCTCCCTCCCCCCCATGTTCCATTCCAGCATGCCAGGGCTGCATCTCTCCTGGAGGGCCACAGGGCGGGAAGGGACACACAGGGTGTGTATCCCTGGGACCTTCCATGGCTCCCCACAGCACTGGGCACCTCGCCACCATGCCAGTCCTGACTCAGTTTCCCCACGTGCACGATGAGCTCAGACAGCGCTAAGGTCACTCTCCAGTCTGAGTGGCAAAGTTGGGACTCCGGGCTGCCTTCCCAGCCCCTCCAGAATCTGGGGAAACCCCAGGAAGTAGGAAGGAAATCTCCAGCTGGACCCCCGAGCCCAGCGCCAGAGTGCCATGATGCATACATTATGACATATAGAAATATATGCATATTTATTTAATGATACCAGGTCTCATTTCCTGGTTCCTGGCACGCATTTCCTGACCGATGAGTATCAAGGAGGCTTTCAGTATTCACAAGTCCCTTGACCTGACTGTATGCTAATGGCCCCTTTGCCCCAGACCCAAAAAAACGAACCTGGTATTTCAAGAGTGAGAATGTTCACCCCAACCCAAACCTTGAAAGGCCAGAACCTGAGTGAGTCCCAGTCCCTCCCACTGGATGAAGATATCTGGAAACACTCAGTGGGGGTGGGGTGGGGGTTCTGGGCTGGTGAACACACCCTTGTTCCAGGAAGGTGGTGCACCCCACAACTCCTCAGGGACCGGTCTTCACCTGACATCACCCTTGGGCCTCTTCCCCTGGCTCATTCATTTGCAGCCTTTGTAATGTCTCTTCTAGTAAACTTGTCAATGTGTTTCCTGAATTCTGTGAGCCTTCATGGCAAATTACCAAAGCTCAGGCCCTAGGGAGCCCCAATCTGCAGCCCAGTGAGACAGAGTAGAGGGAGGCCTGTGGGTATGCAAAGTTGGAGAAGACTTGCAGGACTGAGGCCCTCGCCCATGGAGTCGAGGTAACCGCAGGTACCAGAGCTGAGTTAGTGGGGGGATGTCCAGATGGGTCTGAGCAAGTCTGGAGAGACTGGCAGCCCCAATCCCCACGCTTGCCCATGGGAGTGTCTTTCTACACACTCTTTTCCTTAAATGGACACGAGGCTGACATGGCGCTTGCTTCTCCACCTTCTAAAATAAATGCTGCTTTTAAACATTCCGTACTCTGCATGGAATCCTTGCAGGGAGGGCCCCCCAGACCCAGGTCCCTCTCGCTGTACCAGCCACAGAGCCCGGATCCTCAGAGCCCTTTCCCAGTGCCGAGGGCAGGATCTGGTGCTCGGGAGAGAGCTGTGGGCCCCCAACCCGAGAATGACCGACTTCTCCTGCTCCCACCGCTCCATCCCCCACATTCCAGACTCCTTCCTGCCCAAGTTTAGAGCCTATGGACCAAAAGCTTTCAAACTGCCCTCTCTCCTCCCCCATCCTCCCTTCCTCCCTTCCCCCCTAACTTTCCTCTCTCCCTCCCTCTGGCACTCATGCTGTCTAGAGTGACCAGTCACAGTCAGAGGCGGGAGCGCAGGAGTCAGGCCTTCCCCATGTGCAGCCAAAGGACTGGGGGTTTCTTGGGGGGATTTCGGGAGCTCTGAAGGGTTACTGTGAGGGGTGGGGGCCAGGGCCAACACCGGTGAGTCTCAGACAACCAGGCTGGCAGTTCAATGAGAACCCAAGGAGGCAATGCCTGGAATTCCCCCCAAGGTCCCTCTGCTGGTGCCCCAGGACCCTGTGGTGCCCAGAACTGAACCAGGATGGGAATCTGGGCCCTGCATATGCCCGATCCCTGCCCCATCTCCAGGGTCCAGATCTGGGTTTTCCTGCTTGAAGGTCAGGGTGCAAGCATGGATGGGGTCTGGCTTCCCCACTGTAGTAGAATAAATGAGTGGCTCAAACTGGCTCAGGTGTGCCCCAAGACAAACAAGAGGTTGGGGTATGATGCGGTCTCGCCAGGCTCCAATCAAGGTGTGTGCAAGGTCTGCATTCCTTCTGCATCTGTCACTGCAGGTTTCCCTGCCTTCCCGCCACACTCATGGCCTCTCGCCACTCTCATGCCCTCCCGCCACTCTCATGCCCTCCTGCCACACTCATGGCCCCCTACCACACTCATAGCCTCCTGCCACATTCATGGCGTCCTGCCACTCTCATGGCCTCCCGCCACACTCATATCCTCCCGCCACACTCATGGCCTCCTGCCATACTCATGCCTTGTTTGCCTTTCTCCATCTTCCAAGCCAGCGGCATCATATCCTCATGTGGCCTTTTCCTCCCGCCTGTTTCCTTCTCCTCTAACGATCCTGACTCTGTCACACCCTCCTGAATAACCCAGGAGACTCTCCCCATCTTGAAACCCTTCTCCGGGTCGGTGGGTCGATGGGTCGGTGGTTTCAAAGGCACCCAATTTCAGCACCAGGCCAGGGGCTTAATTCCCAATGGTGCCAGATGCAGAGCCGATCCTCACAGGCCCCCGATTTAGGGACCCCCGCAACCAAAATAAAATTCGTCGCTGAATTCTATTTGCTGAATCCCTCTGCCATGTTGAGAAACAGTCACGGGTTCTGAAATTGGGAGGAGGGTGTTCTTCTGACCCCGTGCATGGATTTAAGACAAGGAGCTCCCACGAGGGGCTGGAGCAATAGCACAGTGGGCGTATATTTGCCTTGCACATGGCTGACCCGGATTAGATCCCTGACATCCCATATGGTTCCCCAAGCACCGCCAGGAGTAATTTCTGAGTGCATGAGCCAGGAATAACCCCTGAGCATTGCCGGATGTGACCTAAAAAGCAAAAAAAAAGAAAAGAAAAAGAAGGAGCTCCCAGGGTCCAATTTGGCTCTGGAGATGGGATGAACAGTAGGGAAAGAGGGATAGTACCATCAGAGTGGGGGGCTGGGACAGGCTTTGGATCTTGGCTGCCAAGACGGGAAGGGATTCCCCATGGGAGTCGGGGGCAGGACTCACCAGCTTGGGATGGACTGGCTATAGTTGGCCAGTGAGTGTGCCCACAATTGGTGGAGGTAAGCACCCCACGTGCCTGAGTTCCTTCCAGGGGCGGGTGCATATCTGAAGCATCCCTCGGAACAGCCTTCTCCTCTCTCTCCCCACACATCTCGAGGGGCAAGTGTTAAGCAAACTGCCTGGTCCCCTTGAATGAACGCTCAGGGGCTGGGGCTGGCTGCGAGCCTATGAGCCCACTGGCCTGGGCCGTGCACACACAATGAGTGTCCTCTGATCAGTCTAAGACA